TGCATGGTCGGTGAATTGTTTTTATCTAATGGTAAGGAGGAGAGTCATTAAATGTGTCCACCTGCCTGACTTGTTTTTATCTGATGGTAGCATGGAGGGGAGGCATTAAATGTGTCCACCTGCTTTCGACCCACCGTGTGTAGGTGAAGATATCCAGTACTTTCAAATTTTCGGAGTGAATTTTTGGATAACTTAGGGAATGGACTCGAACACTACTCGTCTCGTGCGTGTAAAAATCTTGCCACTTTCCTTTTATTGGTCTCCGCGCCAGACTCAATGGTGGACTACGCCAGGACCAATGACCGCTCTGCCATTACAAAAGGCCTAGCCTAGCCACTTGGTACCACCACTCGGTGAGTCTCAGCTCACCTAGCCTTTCTCCCGAGCAAGCTTCTCGCTTGATCCTTCCTTGTAACCACCATCCACCAAGGATGGCAGGAGCCTGGGTTAGCAGCTATTGCCTGAACACTGAGGGTTTTCCTAAAATCCTGTATGCCACCTTGCAAAAACTCAGAGTCAAGGATCGCTCGGAGTATGAGGGTCATGAGTATGAGAAAGATGGCACCGAGCGATGTGAGGTCACCATCTACATTGGGAAGAGTGAGGAGTTCCTCGATATCACTGAAGCCTGGAATGTGACCGCAACTGGGTTTTGCTTCGTCGACACCTACCAAGTTGTGGCCCGCAAAGACTTGCGACATCTTTGCCAGATCTATGAAGAGCCCATTGCACGTACCCCCATGAAGTTCTTTCCACCTTTGGAAAAGAATCGATGGGTATGGAAGGCTCGCATGGAGGCTTTGCAAGGGTAGGACGGGCAAGAAGACAGCCCAACTGTGGTACATCTGGCCACATATTTAATTGCTCTAGATGAATAGTATGACCGACAGGCCTCAGAGCTGAGGAAGTGCCTCCACAGAGCTGAGGAAGCTGAGATCTTCTCCAGGATGCTCGAAGTGCAACTTCCTGAGGCGCACGCCAATGTGGCAGCCGCAGAAAGTCGTGAGACTGCCATGGCGGAAGCCTTGAAGGAGGCTGAAGATTGGCACACCCAACAGCTGGAGGATGCTTATCTAGTCACAAGGGCCAAGCGTAGGACGCTTGACACAGAAAGGCAGGAACCCTTGGTCTTGGAGGGAATCCCTGTCCACCCGCCGAAAATAAGGAGAACCGGTGTTGCAGTACCACCAGCACCTCCACCCTCGGATGTATCAGAAGTAGAGTCCTTGCTTCCCCTCACTCAGCCACCACCACGAGAGGAGGCAGATCCTTAGCCAGTGTAGAAGAAGAACCAACCGAGCCCGGGAATGAAGCCGTTTGGTCCGATGAAGTAGATGAGTTGTCCTAGGGGACATGTACCCGTAGTTAGTAGTGCTTTTCATCGTCGTCCTCTAGTGTTGTAATCTTTCCGTTGTATTTCATCCGTAGATGTTAAGAATCATCGGGTCATAGGAGGCAAACGATGTGTCAAGAATGGGAGAGTGAGTGCCTGTATGTTAAACCCGTATAAGGGCATTTGGGACGTGCATTTTGCTTTATCCATTGTGTTTGTTATGTTGATTTACCCTTAGACCTCATTAGACTTACTTAGGGTTCTTGAGGCAAAAATCAAGCGGGTTACAAGAAAAGCAACCATTCAGATGCAAGCAGACTAGCTATGATTGGATGACAGAGATCACTGTATCAACTAATTGTGGATGTCCCAGCAGAACACTTGAATTTCCTTAAAAATTAAATCCATTGTGGGATTTGATTTCCTGGCCCCTTGCCATGAAAGGAACCCTTGTTGTCTGAATCTTCCCTTGCAATCTTCCCCTGGTTCCGTGGTGAGTGACCCCACTACTTTCATTGTGTGTAAGTTGGTAAAGTTGCCTAGTTAAATGCTTATGGTGTCATGACGAAACTGAGGGCCCTTGTGGAACAGCTACCACATGGCGATGTTGCTCGGCACACGCTGGTATAGAGGTGGTTAACCAAGCACCTTTGCCAAGTTACACCACCGTATCGCTCTCGCAACAAAATATTCTCCTTTGGAAAAATATCCTTGTGGTCTAATGGAAAATCCACAACGGGTTGATGAAGTAGTGCTTTTTCGAAGTAACTGAGTTAATACGGTTTCTAAAGAGAGAGAAGAGCAACAAGGAAAAGTTAGTATTCGAGTAGTCTGGAGTGATTGAAACGCTTAAATTGACGCCATGTCCCAATCCCAGTGTTCGGTTTGACCGCGCTACGCACGCATCGACACCTACGGACGCTGTTGATACCAGGACCCACTTGCGTTCAGCTCTCATTTGGCTATGCCGCACTCGCCTTGTTCACTCGCACAGTTCGTTTTCTCTCCATTTCCCGCACCCTGTCGGCTCTCGACTCTTGCCCTCGCCCCCATACTGGACCCCTCCTTGTTCTTCTTTTGGGGCACAGCCGCTCGCACGCCTCCTCGTCGAGCGAACCCCTCTCCCCTCCTTTTTCCTCCCTCCACTCAAGCTCACACAGGGAGCGCACCATGGCCGACGCTCTCCCCACCTCATGACCCGCCAGTGTTTCCCTTCCACGCCGCCTCCACTTCCCGGTTGCTTGGGTGCGCCCGAGTTAGCTACATTTACTCCACACCCATGCAACTAGCAAAGTGCACAGTAGACCGCATGCAAATTAAAGCCACGCGCACCGCCAGTGGCCACTCACCCGCACTCCTTTTCCCGCACACTGGTGCCGTCCTCTCAGCGTCACGCCGCTGTCTCTTCTGCACCGCCACCCACCGCACGTCGCACCACCGCCCCATGACACCGCTCGTGATGTCACCTCTATTGGCCCGATGTTGCCGCTGCTGTCCCCCACAAACCTGATTCCCTCAGCCCCCGATGCTGCTTAGTGCCGCCGATAATGGCGTGCACCCACCCTCTAAACCCGCCGTCAATAGCCTATAAAACACCCCCTGGGCCCCCCTTCACAAAAAGACACTCCACACTCAACACTAATCACCCGCATAAGCCCCCTATTCAAATGCCAACCTATTTCAACATTTTAAGAAAAAGCTTGAGATAAGTACTGCAAGCTGGAGACTATCGAAGAAAACATCAAGCATGAGCTGGAGTATATTGTCAGAAGTAAGAAGCTGACACTCTCAAGATGTGCTTAGATGAAGATGAGCTCACCATGACCATCTTTGCTATCCTAATTCCTACTATGGTGGCATCAATCATATTGTATATCCCTATAATGCGCCCGCTACCCTACGAGATGCCCTGAGATAGTTGTTGAAATAAGAAGAGTTGAATAAATATTCAAGTTTCATGGATTTATTCAAATTTCGAGGGCATAGGGCCTATCCACAACTTGACTACGCATGATTAAGTTATTTCTTACATTCACCAAATAAATAGTGGCGCAATTCCTATACCAGCTATATTGTGATGCGAGGTCCTTTGCAATTATCATTGTGGTTTAGTTTTTACGTAGCTAGCATAGTATCAGTGCTGGGTATCCATGTGAGTTCCTTGTCAGTAATAACTAAATAAAGTTCGGACAGGCTGTACTTTAACATTTATGAGGGATACTATGGTGGCTGTAATATACAATATTATTTTTACTGACTCTGTCGTGGGGTATCATTCTATGTGGAACCGTTTCACGTGGTAGTACTTAGACCATATATATGGCAACCATAATGCATTTGTATGGTTATATGCCTGCTACCACCGTGTCCTCCCATACTTTGATGGTAATGGGAATAAGGAAAATAAAACATCTCGGAAGATCAGTATAGGTGACGGCTTTGCTTCTTCAGAAGGCCATTTTTTATCTAGAAGGTAGTTTTCCACCCCCAATAATACTTGTTAGCCTGTATGTGTATCCTATGCAACCTTATCATTGTTTCAAAATAATTATTTTAATATTTTGTTTTGTGCTTGTGTATCTGATATTTACACAATACACAATTCCTTGAATTTGTCACAAGATAGCTCTGAGATTCCTAGAATGCTGCTCCACCTGTAAAAGTGACAAATACTTATACTGAAGCCCTATTGGCCATCTCAAACTTAGTCATGCCTATCACTTATCTGTATTAACCTTTTTTGTAACAATTTTTATCCAAGCTAAATAGTAAAAAAACAAATATAAAACAAAAGGTTTTGGTAACCCACTTGAGTTTGCCAATTATTCAGTGGTTTGTGTGATGCTTATTTCTGTACTCTTTGTCAGACAGTGAGAAGTTATAAATTATAAACTCATTTGGATAGAACAAAGTTATATGTTCAATTAGGACCACAGAGAACTCATACACCTTCCAAATCTACACTTAAATTTATATAGCTTCCAATTTATATGGTGGAGCATATATTTCTTTCTCGAACACGCAAGAGAGCTGCATATCATTTCATTAAAAGGAAAAGAAAGAGTAATGCAGTAGCAAAGCTAGCATTTCTATTCAATCCAATACAGGGTTATGCACTATATAGAATACTAACTCACCAAGGTAGGGTTAGAAATTAAAGCCAAATATTAGGCAGCAACAAATCTGAAAATACCAAACAAACAAAATACATGAGGGTAGATCCACCTGAATGTTGTAATTGAATGCTATTGTCTTTGTTTAATGCTAAGACGGGCAAAGCCTTAAAACTCTAAAAAAACACATGAGGGTAACATTAGTTGTAAATTGTAATATACATGCACAATACAGTTACATACTTCTGGGAAAATGATTTAAAATGAATGTCATTTTTATTCATAACGGTACAGTACAATCAGGTAGTAACACCGATGATGCCATTGGTGTTTAGTAGGTACAAAGTTATATATTTCACATAGATCCAACAGAAATTTACAGTTACTGAAATTTCACAAATTAAATGTGATTTTCTATGTCACACTTTCATATTTGAATGCAAGCAACTCCCTAGGAACTCAAGCAAACTGTTGAGGAAGTGTCATGTACTGGCTTCTGCATCAAGTGTACTTCTGACTCCATCTTGAAATGAGATTGGCTTGATACCAATAATCTAGGTTAGCTTGGTGATGTCCATGGATATGTCTGGTGGAGAAGCTACCCCTCGATTAACCTGGGCAACAGGTAGATGTGGGCATTACCAGATATTATGATGGAAAAATAAGCATATGGAAGCAAAATGTTTAAAGGGACCTCAATGCTCAATGTTGGATACTATTTCAGTTGTAAAGTTAAGACCAACTTGTATCTAAAACATCATGCTTGTTGAATAAATGTGTTCTAATAGTACTCGTGTTAACACTAAATAGGCAAATATCATATGGGTGCTTCAATGCTACATTCCAGAGGAAAGATAATACCGATGATGTAGACACAGATTTGATTATACTGGGGTTATATCCATGAACAACAGCAACAGACTCAGCCATCTGCAGTCTTGATACCCTATCTGGACCACCAACATTCAGGAGGACCTGGACTTTTTTGACATCTGCAGCATGCACTTTGATGTCAGTCACCATGGCACAATGGAAAACAATTGCTAATAGGAAAACACTAATATTGAAGCGTTATAATATATGAAATGGAACATGTTAAAATTGTTTATAGAGTGAACACAAGAAAAATTATTGCTACTGATTGAGTTCCACAAATGCACAAGTCAAACTCATACCTGATAACCAAGTTTTTGTTAATGACAAAATTACGTCCACCATATCTTTGACATTGGCAGGGCACCGGAATTCATCATTGAAGAACTCAACCTGCTGGCCTTGTGAAAGAACACCATCCATCCACTGCATCCAAATGGCAGGTACTTTTCTTAGTTAGACACTTCTCTGGTCCTGTAGAATCAGTTTCAATTCTGAAACATTAGCAACACGACTCTACTTACTTATAGTTGGGGAGAAGAACATAACACTATTTATGAGTGCTGAGCAGTGCATTTTACCTGAACGGGAAGGGATTTTGCCACAGGAGAGATTGTTTGTGGCCCATAGATAATGCTGCTTCTCAAGATCGCATAGTTTGAGCATTTCTCAACAATGAGTTTCTCTGCAGCAACTTTAGATTTTCCATACATGTTCACCGGCACTGTCTCGTCCTCTTCTTTGTAGAAGGATTTCACCCCCTCATAAACTGTCAGTATAAGAGAGGCATATTTCATTGTACACTTGAGTCTAGGATGAACATACATGCAATATGCACCACAGATAAAAATGCCTGAGTAGCAGAGTATGGCACCAAGGATTGTGAGTGCTGTACCTTGATCAGTTGACAGATGAATCAAAAGTGCGTCGTCATTCCCAAAACTCAGCAACCAATTCACAAGTGAAGAAGGCACATTGGTAGCCATAGCAGCAGGTGGATCCATTTCACATGCCCGAGGAACTGACATCGCAACACAGTTGAAAACTACGTGTGGCTGAACATAATAGGTACAGGTTAGTATGCTTTGTTATCGGAGAAATGTAGTAGTGATCTCGTGATTCATGTAACGTCCAGCCAAGCAATCGCCAATCAGTTAATCACTGAATCAGTGAGAGCAGAAGTTCGTATGAAGTAGAGAGTTGTGCGCGGTGGGAAATGCGGACGCATTTCTACCTGGCCGAAGGACGCGGAGGTCGCCTGGAGGCCGTCTCTCGGAGTGGATGTCGGCGCGGACGGAGGGGAGCGCGTCGAGGAGCGGCTACGGTGGGGCGGGGCTATGGTGGGTAAAAGCGACGTCGAGGCGGTCGGCGGCGGAGGATGCCATGAGGAGCTGCTGGCCCAGGTAGCCGCTGCTGCCCACCACTAGCACCCGCTTCCTCTCCTCCTCCCCCGCCATCTCGAGAGATCTGCTGTGAACTCGCTCCTCCGTCAGATTGTGAGGGAGGGAAGCAAGAGGAAGGGGCTCGGGATTGAAGCGGAGCCGTGGGTCCCACACTTCAGTTGATAAAGGGATACTTATCTTGGTGGCGGAGGAGGAAACCTCAACTCAAAGCGGAAACTTAGGCCCCGTTTGGCAGGGCTTCTCCACTAGTTTCAGGAGTCGTTTGGAGCCGTTTTCTGCCAAACGGGGTAAAGTGAAATAGCTTCACTGATGAAGCCCCTAAAAATATGCTCTCACAATGATTTGGGGGTGGGATGGAGCCAAAAAAAAAGTGGCTTCTCCCGGCTCCTCCTCCAGGCCCCTAAAAACATGCTCTCATAGGGAAACCATTTTGCCAAACGGTTTACCAAAACCGCTTCAGCTCCACCGGTGCAACTGGTCGTGGAGCTGAAGAAAAAAAAATAGCTTCACTAGTGAAGTGAAGCCCTGCCAAACGGGGTCTTAATTGCTCTTCTCTTCACTTCACAGTTTGTTGCATTGCGCTGCCTTGGCCGCCGCTGCCAAAACCCAGCAGCGAGCGATAAACCCTCTGGCCAGCCGCCGTCATTGCTGCCGCCGCCGGTGATGGGGGTGGACCGCGCATGTTCTCGGGAGGGCTGTCTATGTGGCGGCGTACAAGCGGATGCACGAGAAGCTGGCGGCGAAGCAGCGGGGCTCCTCCGCCATGAGAAGCAGCTCTACCTCGCCCGCCTCCTCTGCTCCGAAATCCATGCCTCCCGCCTCTCGGCGCCACCGCCGAGAGGCTCCGCCGGCGAGGGCCCACCTCATCACACCCAACATCCGCGCCCTCGCCGACCGCTTCCAGGCCCAGCGCCAAAGACATCTGGAATAAGGACGACAGACCCTCCGCCAAGCGCCAAGCGGCCGCCGATGGATCGCGTCGGGTGTCCAAAGACCAGCAGCAGCAGCAGCTTGACTCTGGGAAGCCCCGCGGAGGACCGATTTGGGAGGACTGGGGGGACCTGGCCGCTCTGGAGCAACCGAGGCGTCGGAGGGAGCCTTTAGACAGGGGAAAGGGGCCGACCTTGGCCGCGTTCAATCCGAGAAGAGAGTACCGAACGGTGGCGCCCTGGTGCCCGCGTTGGAGTCTGGCGCCACTCGGTTTCGTTGATCCCAGGAGGTTTTACTCGGTGATGACTCCTTGCTCCGTGAGTTGGCAACCGTGTGTCGACCTGAGGCCATTGGTTGCTAGAGGCCTTACTGAGGTTGGGAATGGAAGGAGGGAGACACCATTGGCGCTGTTTAATCAGGAGAGCCTGTACTCTGTGGCTGCGAGGCGATTTGGCAAGAAATGGAGACCAGATTTGTCAGATGAGGATGACGACGGTGCATCTGCGCGCAAGAGGAATCTGAGGTTTGGAAAGTTTGGGGCTTCGAGCGAAGAGGATTCAGAAATTGATGAGTCTGAGGACACAGGTGCCATCAGGAGGAGATGGAGCCGTGCTGCTCTCAGGAACTGTGATATGAAGAAGGAAAGGCGGGTGCTCAATGTATCTAAAAAATAACATATTTGGATGTGGACGGGTTACCACCGACCATCTTAACCATGCCAACCTCAAGCACCGACCACCTCGGGAGCAACATGCACACAACCCAAGTCATCTCTTAGATGCCTGGATATATGTGTAAATACAAATATTCTTGTATGGTCGGTGAATTATTTTTATCTGATGGTATGGAGGAGAGGCATTAAATGTATCCACCTGTCCGATTTGTTTTTATCTAATGGTAGCATGGAGGGGAGGCATTAAATGTGTTCACCTACTTTTGACTCACCCTGCGCAGATGAAGATGTCCAGTGCTTTCAAATTTACTGAGTGAATTTCCGGATAACTTAGGGAGGCACTCGTGCATGCATGAAAATTTACTGCCCAGTATCTATTGATAGTAAATTCATTAATGTAAAGGGAGAAGGCACATGTGATGTAAATTCCTCCTGTCATAGTAATTTTTTTATATAAAGGACACGTGAAAGCACAGTGATATAAATCTCTCTACCGTAGTAACTTTTTGCATGCAAAGTACACCTATGGTTTATATTGTCCTTGCATGCATGGTCATTCAATTTTTCATCTACTTCATTGAATGCGTCCACTTGCTTTATCTATCCACTGCCGAATGCACGGAGAAAGACTGGTTGTGACGCGCTTTATCTGAGTCGTGAAATTTTTATCTAACGCACCAACTAAATAGAACATACGTAGACACTCTAGGAGACCGCCTAGACGGCGTGCCTTCGTATCTCTAATACCCAATGGAACAAGCAAATAAGCAAAGGATCAAAATCAATAGGATGGCATGAGTTAACACAACAAAGCAGCTCAGGTTGGGGGCCTTGCCTGCAGCCGCGGGAGGAATCCATGAAGTTGCCTCGTGAAGGCACAGAGCACAGAGACGACCATACTGCACAACCAGAAGGGAGGTTGGGTGCGCATCAATCTGGTACCCGGTTGCCGTGGCCCGCAGGCTGAGGAACCGGTCCTGTCGTTGGAGCTGCCCTCACAGGAACCGGGGAAGACCGGGTGGCCGCCGACGCCGGGGCCGGGGCCAGAGCACAGACCGCGTGCGCCGCACAGAGGCAAGCGCCATCTGAGTATTAAGTTACTACCGAAGATTGTTTCTGTGTCAGTATACAAGCTGCTGGCAGCGGTAAAGAAATATAGTACCTATTGATCCAACATTTCTGCCTCATTGAGTTCTCAACGCATTGATGGTTATCCCTTGGACCAGTTTGCAGTATAGAGATTTGAAATTGCAACTTAATAAAACGGCAAATCAAGCATTAACCCTCTTATTAAAACGGCAATAAGAATCTGTCCACCATTTGACAGAGCCGACTGTAAAAACAAGCCGACTGTCTCCTAAAGTAACATTTGGCCTTGCATACTTGATTCTAAGCAAATTGGCTTAACCAACAAATTCAAAAAGAATTGTCTACTAATATTACCTCCTATGAGTATAGAATAGTATCTGGACCTACCTAACCTTCTCGATAAATTTCTTGTGCTTAATAAGAACTAAAATTTATTAAACAAATATGATCATCAGGTAGGTAGTACCAACAACGGAATTTTGCCTGATGTCTTCCAGTGACGACGAAGGGTTACACACGCAAACCAGACATGGAGGTTTTGACCCTAACAAATGATGAATGAAGTATGGCCAAGACCATCACTGGCAATGACTACTCAAGGTGAAAAGAAAAAAAATCCGGTGATACAGAAACTTTTTACAAAACACCAAGGTTGACCATCAAACACAGAATAGATTCAGAGTTCGTGGGGGGATCCAAACTAACCTACTTGAGAGAGATGGGGAAGGTGAATTTCCCTGACGCCTCTGGGACGCGCATGATCTCATTCACGGTGGCCCTCCAGCAGCGGCAGACGCCGGCGCATGCCGCGGCGCCCGTCCACCGCGCCTCCTCGTCGTCGACACTGGCTAACACCATCCGCAGGCGGGCCGGGCGGGTGCGTGCGGCGGCGGCGGCGGCGGACCCAGCTACGGGCGGGCGTGGGTGCCGGCAGGCTCTTGAGGCGGCGGCGGCGGTGGATGCGGAGCCTAGCGGATGGGAGCGAGGTTTCTTTCCTACCGAGTGAGGTTTGTTTCATTTTGATTTTTGTCGCAAGGGAGCCGGGGGACGGACGGGAGCGAGGGAGCCGGGGGGCGGACGGGAGCGAGGTTTCTTTCCTACCGAGTGAGGTTTGTTTCCTGCCGGGTAGACATGGTCGTCGCACAACCTATCGTCTATTGTGACCGTATGAATTTTTTTAGTTGTAGAGATAGAGAAGAGAAGAGATAAAGAAAGAAAAAGGGAACGCCGCACTAGTGTAATGTTAAAGCAAAAATCTCTAGATGAGGCGAAGCTTCTAGTTGCATGCGCACATCTTCAGCCTGAACAGATGATCGGCAGATCACAAAAAGGGGTAGTCTTTGAATGGTGGTGGTGGAATGGCAGCATATATGCAGGGGAATGTGGTAGTACTAATCATCATGGTACAAGGATGAGTCGCCAGTCTTGCTTTTGAGGAGCCAATTTTTCTTTCCTTCGCCTTGAGATCACTAGCTTCATTTGGAAAAAAAAAATCGGTGAGGACGCGTGGCCCATATAGACAACTATTTTATCATGTCGTACGTTACATTTCAGTTGCAGGGTCCTCGCCACGTCCCGATAGAGATGGCCCTCACCGATTTTTTTCCTTCATTTGAGGTGTCATGATTAGCCTATCCTGATTTGATGGTGCTGTTGCCTCCGTGGATCTCCAAAAATCTTTTTTAATCTCACTCTAAATCATCATTTGGAAGACCATTTGAATAAAAATCACTCTTTAATAAATTTTCATCTCCAACAGATTTTTTATATCTTGTGCTCACTCTAGGGAGGTATTTATGCTCTAGATTTTTTTTCTAGCGAGAAATCTATAATAAAGGACAACTATATTTGGAGATCTAATTTAAAGAGTTGTTGGAGAGTTTTTTCATCAAAATATCTATTCTATCAATTAGAAAGGATGTAAATTCCAAGAGGCTCTTTACACTACCACACAATATGCCATCACTGTAGAAATATGATTGTCGGTTTGTGGCTTTAACTGACAGTGATGGTACAACTGACAGTAATAGATGGACTTTTAGTGTCGGTTCATGGCTACAAGTGGCAGTGATAGCCAATCTATTACTACCGATATGGACTATTGCTACCGGTTGTAGCCATCAACCAGCAATGAAAGTCTACCTATCACCATCAGTTCGTGGTTACAACCGTCCGTTATAGGCTATTTTGCAAAAAAAATCATAACTTTTATTATATAAGGTCAGATCAAGATAAACTTTATACCAAAATTGTAGAGTTCAAAGAGATATAAATTAAAACTTTAGTTGACAACATTTTAATTTGATATGGTTTACATGTCTTTCAATATAAGTTCTTAGATCGGATTTGAGATGGTTAACAATGTCGAATGGAGACAAAATCAACATCAAAATTGTAGTACTCAACGAGATTTACAACTTTGCAGTTAACAACCTTTTCATTTGAGATTGTTTAGAGTGTTAAATATGCAATATAAGATTTAAAATTGTGTAGTTAAAAGAATAACATCAATTGTATAGTTATAAGTATTGTGTAGCTCAACTAGTATGGACGCTCAAGAGAACATTGAGGTGTTGAGTTCAAATCCATTAATCTGATGTATTGTTATATCATTCTTAATTGATAGGAATAGATATTTTGATGAAAATAACCATCTAAATGATGATTTAGAGAGTAAGAAAGACTCATGGAGATTCTCTAAAGCGGTCGATCAAATAGTCATGGCTAACTGCATGGATCTTCTTGAGGAATGGTGTCGGGGTTATGATACCATGGGTATCTCGAGGCACTGATTAGTTAGCCACTCGGACGGCCCACGACAAACAAGCTAGTACAAGCCCAAGCGACCGAGGCCCAACTAAGCTATGAAGGCCTGGGCCAAGTGCTGAGACAGGGAGTCGGCCACGACCTCTCCCTTCGCCATACGCTGCTCAACTCTACACGACCTCTCTTCTGTCCCGACCCCCGGGCAGGATGGAGAAGGGTCGAGCTTCACCAAGTACGCCTGCTCTGGACTAGGGCAGGCATGGCCCACACACTCCGCTAGGGCTGAGGGGACAACTATCCCCTCGGTCTAGACAAATGCCACCACCGCGCCACACTGTGCGGACAAGGCAGCACCGCCAGGCGGTGACGATAGGTACGGTTAACCACCGTCCAAATACGTCCCGATGGGGCGGACGTACGGCCCCACCCACCACGGGATGGGGCTCACGACTACGATCTTGACTTCTAAGCCCAGCCAAGCCAACAAAGGCCACGACCCTGGTGCTCGAGATCATGGCCATTGGCTCCACGACCAGCAAAGCCAACCGATGACCCCGGAGCGGCTACTTACTCTTGTACGATGACTCCGGGAGACCAGAAAACGATGACAAAGGCCATAGAGAGACCACGTCCCACAGGACGGCTGGTGAACCACCACCGTGCCAACAGTACTGCCACGGCCAGTATTGTGGCACCACGCCACCCCATGCCACGACATGGGCACAAGACCATGACGACAACCACGTTCGGACGCACTGGCGGAGCTGCCCTAGGGGCGGGGTGGGGTGGCCGCCCCAGCTACCGGTGGCGTAGCTTCGGACCCCCGGACCCCCTCTTCTTCCCTATCTCCGGCTGCCGACTGCCGAGGACGCGAGCTGATGAACGAGGCAACGATAGGACGAAGAAGACTCCTGCTAAGCTGCTAAGACACTGGGCCTTTGTTTGGTCAGTTTGATTAGCCCAGTAAGGGCCCAATTTGGCTCTCCAATTCCCCAATCGAGGGCTGCACGCCTCTCTCCCAGTCCGCGGTCCGCATCGAGCATCCGCACCGCAATTCCCCAATCCCCATCGAGCGCTCCAGGTCGCCGCCGCTCGCCCGCCCACCGGCAGCCACCACACGTCGCCACTGGGCAGCTGCGCTAGCCA